AGGCGGCCGGCTAGCACGAAACGGCGGCGGCTGTGCGGGCGGGCGGGCTCTGGCAGGCGCCTGGAGAACGCACGGCACTTTCAGGCTGTGCCCCTCCCCACGACCGGGCAGCGACCCATGTGCAGCTCCGCGCGGCCACCCCGGACCCAGCATCGCGGCCCGTGCCCACCCCGCTGGGGGAGGGGCCGCGCCCATCAGCCAATGGCTGCCCCGCCTGGCGGGGAGGGGGCGGGGCCCGCGGGGCCGGCCCGCACCACGCATGCGCTCTGGCTTCCCTTGAATGCTTCAGACAGGTTCCGGGGCCCCTCGGTTCCAGAACTTTCTAGAACGCTCATGCAGGCCAGGGGTCAAAGGGGACATAACGTCACTTCCGGGCAATGGAACGCCCCGTAGTCAGTACGGGGAGTACTAAAGCTGGCTTTAAAGTCGGCTGTAGCAAGAGTCCGCCCTTAACGGCGGCGCGGGCCTGCGAGCGAAAATAAACCAGCAAATCCAATTCCTCTCTCGCGGGGGGCGGGGCGGCTCCACCCCCTTCTGGTGCCGCGGTAGTGAGGCAGCGCGCATGCGCGGTTGGTGACCTTTTCACGCGTGGCCGCAGCGGGAAGGGCAGTGTGTGGGGAGCGGCAGCGGCAGGCGCGCCATGGTGAGTGCTGCGGCCGGGCTGGGATCTCGCTCGGCTGTGCCCGAAGGGCGTGGGGCCGGGGCGTGGGTAGTGGCGGCGGCTGCTGCTGCTGCTCGGGCGCGATCTTGGGCCATGTGCTAGGGACGTCCGGGCGGGGCGCGGGGGCTCGGCTCTCTCGTGTCCCCCCCCAGCGCCGTCCTCCCTCCGCCTTCGCCTGTGGCGGGATCGCCAGAGCCGCTATCTTGGCCTCGCTGTGCGGCCCGGCTCGGTGAGGGCCAAGGGGCGTTTTAGTTCGGGTCGGATCTCTCCATTCCCCGCTGTCCTCCCCGGGCGCGGGAGAAGGAAGTGTCGCGGTCAGGGTGAGTAGAGGCGGCACCGCCACGTACTGCTGCCCTGGTGCCCGCAACGGCTCTGCCCGGGCAGGGCGCCCCTTGACCTGTCTAGCTGCGGTGAGAGCCCCGGGCTTGCCCCCCTGCCCCCTGTGGCTGCCAGATCTGGACACTGGTGGAACCTGCTAGAAAGGAACGGAGCCCGCACCACGTGACTAGGCGGGTCTCCCTGCTTGCCCGCATGGTGGGGCTTGCAGGCTCGCGTTTGATTTTGGCACTGACCCCTAAACGTTTTTTGGGTGATTTCAAAGCCAAGGTAGAACGGTAGGCTAAGATATCCGACAGAAAGAAGGCTTGAGACTTTTGCAAAGATCAGTAGATAAAATTAGCCATACTTTTACAAGAATGCTAGGAGTCTCAATAAATGTTTTGCTTTTCTTTCTAAAATGCCAATAACAAGTAAGCTCACTCGTGGCATCATACATCTCTACGTAATATTTTTCTGGAAGGGCATGCATAATTGGATTAAATGCTAAACTGAAGTAGTGTAGCAGCCAGGACATGTTCTTTGTATCTTATTTGTGTCGAAGGACATAAGTAAAATAACTCAAAGGAGAATTGCCATCAAGCTCCTTTTCTTCTTCTTCTCTTTTTTTTTTTTTTTTTTTTAACAGTAGCCAGCTCTGATTTAAAACTTCTAAGTGCATTTTCATCTAATAATCAGTAATACCTTTAAGTCTTCTGGACTTTTAAGCTGCCTAAGGTATATGTGGTTTCTTCATCTAATAATTTATCTGTTACTTACATTAGTTAGTTATTTAAATTCTTATACATCTTTTTTCCATTTGGATCTCAATTGCAACTATTTGGGGGGAGGGAGTAGGTTCATTTCTGCTATAACAACGTTGTGCCTGATTCAGAGAGGTACAGAGCTTATACAGTTTGATTAACTTGAGTGCTCAACATTTCTCTGAAGCCTGCTACTAGCATAGTAAAATAGTTTGGGTTTTTCAGGTTTTTGGGATTGCAACCTTGTTGCAGTGTCGTGTGAAATATTCCTTTAGTTTGTAGCGCAGCATATAAAATTCCCTTTTTTTTAACAGGCAGGGCGTGCATTTCGGAAATTTATGCCCCTCTTTGACCGTGTTCTGGTTGAAAGATGTGTAGCTGAGACTGTAACAAAAGGAGGCATCATGCTTCCAGAAAAATCTCAAGGAAAAGTGCTGCAAGCAACAGTTGTGGCAGTTGGATCAGGATCAAAGGCAAAGGTAAATATGTTATAGCTGGAAGCTTGTTTAAGGGAAAATACTAATTGTGGTGGGATAATTGGAAAAAAACTGCTGCAGCCTACTTATTAACATTATTGCATTTGATCAAACCTATGAAAATAATTTGAAGAGGGATTGGAGGCAAAGGAGCCAAGAATTTAATCCTAGCATGGCTCTGACTTTGAGCATGGATGTGTTAACCATTTAAAGTAGTTTATGAAACAAGTTTTTTAGTAAGCTGTGAATTCAGGTTACAGAAATAAACTAATTGTGACTTTTTTTTTTACTTGCGCTTCCGAGTTTTTAAAAGCTGTCTGGTTTGCCCCACGCTTTCAGAAGTCTGTCTTGTCTTTGTTATAGAGGAAATCTGTTGACTTGGCCTATATTATATTGAGACAAATGAATCCTATGCTCCCATATTAGGGCTTTTCTGAATAAGAAATCTAAATTAAAAAAAACTCATTGTATGATGAAAACACTTCAAATTTGAATTCTGAATATTAAATCCTTTGCTACCCAGGTGTAGCATTACGCTAATGCTTGGGAACCAGAAAATGGAGCGCATTACTCATTAGCCTGAACTCTCAATCTCTCTCTCCTCCTCCCCCCCCCCCCCCCCCCCCCCCCCCCCCCCTTTACCTTTTTGTTAGATTGCATATATTTTTATAATCTGGAAGGTTTGTTTTTTTTATTTTAAATTGTAATAGTGCTTCATGTGTGTGTTATGTTGTAAATAAACTTATATCTTTTTCTTCTCTTCAGAATGGAGAGGTCCAGCCAGTCAGTGTTAAAGTTGGTGACAAGGTTTTACTACCAGAGTATGGGGGTACTAAAGTAGTACTGGAAGATAAGGTTTGTCTAAAATACTTAAAACTAGCTTAGCTTGCACTTATTAATTTGAGACTCTCTGTAAAGTCCAGTTGATTACAATATAAAGTCCAAAACAGTTCAATGTTGATTCTTCAAGATGTGTGCCACTGATTAAGTTAAAGTGCTAGAGCACCAATATCAAGTTGGTTCTGAAGTATATACTGTGCTTCCCTTACTGGAAGAGAAACCCTACACCTTCAAATGTTAGGGGAGAAATACCTAGTAGGAGTGACTACAGGATGAATTTTGCTGAGGTGGGGAGAAGATTCCAGAACCTCCCACCACCAAACTTGCAGGAATTGATAAATGCAGTCTCAAAGGTTATTCTTACTAGACAAAAATTATCCTGGTGCTTGTCCAAAGGGGCAAAAGCATCCTCTAGAACAAAGGTAACAAAAGGTGGATAATTTATGGGGCAGTTGAAGTGTAGAAAAGCCCTTGGGTTAATAATTCCTTTGATTGTATAATATTAACTCTCTCGTTTTATAGTCATTGCAGTCATGATTTATAACATTTAGTACCATTTCCCTTAGTGTCAGTGCTTATATGCTATTTGACTCCACTGCATATTCTATTTTCTTTTTCATTTGCAGGACTACTTCTTATTTAGAGATGGTGACATTCTTGGAAAATATGTGGACTAAATTTCTTGTATTGCAGCAGTATCATGAAGTCATCCATTCCACTAAACTCTTGAATTTTTTCATCATGTAAATAATTTTCTGTTGTTTAGTTTATAATAAACAGATATCAAATCTTTCTGAAATAACTCGTACAATCTCATTGTAGTGATTGGAACACTTAAAATAAAACGATGTGTACTGTCAGATAAATATTTCAGTTCCTCATCTTTTAGAGTTCAGCAGTAAGAAGATAGTGATTTTGATTTCAGCTTTTTTAAAAATAATTTTATTTGATAACCTCTACGTTTTTTGACGCATCTGAGACTTCAGTAGCAAAATTACAATAGGCTTTTCATTTTTCCTGCCTGTGTCTGTTTCTACTCCCCTGGAAATGACAAAACCCAACTGCCAAATGCTGTGTCACACAGTCAGACAAGGTTCCTTGGGTGAATTTGATATCTTTTATTAGACCAACCCAAATAGTTGGAGAATAGTTATTAAGCAAGCTTTCGGGTTCAAAAACCCTTCATCAGGCTTAAGAAGCTGCAGCAGCTGGTGTGTGCTCTTCCTGGATGGAATGAAAAGTAAACAAGCCAGGGGCTGGGCTGGGCTGGGGAGTCAGTTGCCAGGCAGATTATAATGTATCAAAACTCAAATGTCTATGTTTAGTCCCTGATCTCTAGTATCCAGCAGGTTGAAATGGAGCTCATAGGCTCGTCTCTGGGATGTGTTGTGTAAGTTTCCCTTGAGGATCAGGACTGAGAGAGTGGCCCTCCTGTGAGAAATGTGCCCCCACCGGTAATTGGGTGTTTCTGTCTTTGATGGATTTCCAGTGTGCATTCATTCTGGTGCGCAGTTGTTGTCTGGTCTCTCCTACATATCTTCCATCAGGGCATATGTAGGAGAGACCAGACAACAACTGCGCACCAGAATGAATGCACACTGGAAATCCATCAAAGACAGAAACACCCAATTACCGGTGGGGGCACATTTCTCACAGGAGGGCCACTCTCTCTCCAATCTCTCAGTCCTGATCCTCAAGGTAAACTTACACAACACTTCCCAGAGACGAGCCTATGAACTCCATTTCATCAACCTGCTGGATACTAGAGATCAGGGACTAAACATAGACATTGGATTTTTGATACATTATGATCTGCCTGGCAACTGACTCCCCAGCCCAGCCCCTGGCTTGTTTACTTTTCATTCCATCCAGGAAGAGCACACACCAGCTGCTGCAGCTTCCTGAGTCTGACGAAGGGTTTTTGAACCCGAAAGCTTGCTTAATAACTATTCTCCAACCATTTGGGTTGGTCTAATAAAAGATATCAAATTCACCCAAGGAACCTTGTCTGCCTGTCCTTAGACCAACACGGCTACAACCTAAACCTGTGTCACACAGTAACACTTCTTGTGCTCGTCTGTAATGCTGTTTTGTTTCTAGTAAATAGGGGTAGCTTAGTATTGGCACAGAAACCTGTCAGCCAGGTGAGTGCTGTGAAAACAAAGTGAAGTTTGAGGGTACTAATTACAGCAATTTTGGACCTTACTTGTTTTAAGTAACAGATTATTATCTTTTACCAGCTTTTTTGGCTTGTCTGGGTTTATTAGTTTGAATTTGATGTTGCACAAATCTAGTTTATAAAAAATTTTTTCCTTAGTAGGAACATTTTGAATTGGATCTGTGCAAAATATAGTTAGAGGTTGTTAGAAAGTATTTAGTTTAAAAAAGAATAAAGAATCCTACAGAAAAACCTACTTTCTTTAGAATTAAATAAAGAAATTGAGCTTGAACTATTAAATTGGCAGGAGTCTCAACAATGTCTGCATGCAGTAGCATTTTTTTCAATGCAGGTAGGACACGATTCTGAATTCAGCTGGAACAATAAAGACCAACTGTCTTGACATCTTTACCAGCTCAAGCAAATGTAGTGTATTTACCTTTTAATTTAAGATGACCCCACTAATATTAGATTCTATACATGCTGGTAAATTGTCTATGTATAGAATCTAATGGAAGGTCATCTTAAAGTAGTTTTGGGGGGGGGAGTGAGGCAGGCAACTTTTTCTCCTGCTGTCTGACACTTACTGTTCTCATCCTTGAGCCCCTGCCCTGGCCCCTTACCCTTGCTCTGGTACATGCAGGTGCTCTCCCTTGCTTCAGCCTGGGACATAGAGTATGGCCCTGGTCCAGCCCCACAGCAGCAGCGCAGAGCCAGCACCACTAATACAAGGCCAGCCTGAGGCTGTCTTTCTGTGCCCCAGGCAGGCATGCAGAGGTGGGGGGGTGTGCACTGCAGCTCCAGCTCTGGTTGGCCACCTCCCTCAGCACTTTGTATTCAATTCCAAGATGGGGTGCTAAATAAGGGAAAATAAACTCAACTTGGAATTGAGTAGATACAATAAAATCTTCACTTATTACAAGAAAATAAAGCCTAAACATTCAGCTACCTTGAACTTTGTCCCATGGCAGTCTTCCTTCATGATTTTATTTCTGAAACTGAAGATTGTAGGAATTTGTGTTGTGCTAGGCCATGGTTATAATAAGTTACACTGCTGAAAAGCAGTAGGAAGAATGGCCTCCTGACCACTAGATGACCCAGTAAGAAAGAAAAATTAAAATGCACTAATAGACAAAAAGACACTGAAAGAAGTATGAAAACAGCTACAGTACAGGTGTGTAAACTTTGCGAAGGAAACAAGATGAACATCATAAGAGTTGGCATGGGGGGTGGGGAGGGGCATGCCAATAAATGGGTTTGGAGACCAGTTCCTTGTAGAGACCCAGCAGGGTATGAATAACATACCAGTGAATCTAGTAGTTGAGGATAAGCTGCTCCCATTTTGGACAGACTGAATCAGATCAACTGGTGTCCTATCAACAGTAGACCTTTTGCTACTGAACACATGTAGAGCTGTGTTTTCTGTGTTGTATTCTGGATCTGGAGGACAGCTTGCTAGCATCAGAACATTACAGACCCCAGTAGCCTGTGCATAATAAGCAACAGCAACCAAATGACACCTGAGAAAACTACATGCCTAAAAAAAGATTACTTGTAGCCTGTCTATTTTAAAAGACCGCTTATCAAGTAACCCAGTGAAAATAAACCTGGGCAGATGCATTATCTACTACCAGTAAGCATAGCACAATGATGTCTGTGTTGCGACATATTTCTTCTGGTCACATGTTAAGCCTTTGAAGTGGTTGAGGTATTTAAAATATTTACAGTTTAGCTTATACAAACAAGCCATGCAAGTGAGAGAGAACAGCGATTGGAAGAACATTTTGAAGGTAAGTTGGGGTACCGAAATACATGCTCCAGTGTATTCTAATTAGAACATTGGAGCAGACTTGATCTAATTAGAACACACCAGCGTGCTGCATTGTCGCATGTATTCAGTTTCCTGTGTTTCAAATGGCAGCAGGGGTGCTGTAACTAAAACTTCTCAAACTTTAAAGTACCCCTGCAGCCATTTTAAAAAGGGGGACACTGAATACATGTGATG